CTGGCTCCGCCCCTAAGGGGGTGGGGCCGAGCCGGCTAAAGACCCCGCCCTGAAACCCCCTCCCGCCGCTGTCATCCCTTCAGGCCCTTTGAGATCTTGGAGCAGAGGGCATCCGTGGGGTGGGGGGGGCTGATTCCCGGGTCCGCTCACCTGGGCTGACCCTTCATTCATTCAACACGCGCTGGCCACCATTGCCACGGCGGGGGCTGTGTCTCTGCCCCAAACGGAACTCATCTTTGAAGTAAGGGCTTTGAGGGATACCTGGGCGTGTGCCAGCAGTGGGTGGTGGGGCATGCCAGGCAAACAGTATAATCGTGCCCCCTCCCCTGAGGAACCGGAAGCTTTAGCGGGAGGGAAGTGCAAGTACACGCGCGCTCGAGACCGGCTGAGCGCTCAGATCTGCAGCCAGGCCGCGCACTTCGCCTGGACCTACTGTGTGCCGGTACCTACTCGCTGCCATGCAGTCGTGCCGGCCCATAGCCACCCTGTAGGACGGCGTAGAACTGCATCTGTGGGTTTCCACGACGAATTCGTTCCGGCCGTAGAGCCACTGGTGATTGTCAAACGCAGCCCTCAGGGGTAGCCCACCTCGCCCCCCATCCCTCTGCCCTGCCAGGGCTCCTTTATTTCATTGGCTGACTGAAATCTCAAACCTGGAGTAGGTCCTGTTATTCTGCACCCCCTCCATAATATATATATATATGTATGTATGTATGTATATATATATCCGTTTTATTGGCACCTCATCCACCTATGATACATTTCAATAGTTCAGGCATATAAAGAAGAGCTGTACAAACATTGCCACAATCAATTTTAGAACAGTTTCTTCTTCCTTGTACTCATTAGTGGGATTATTATTTTTTAATTGTGGCCAAAATATACACAACAAAACATCCTCCACTTCGACAACTTCTACATGTCTAATTCATGCTGTGGATTATACTCTTCGTATTGTACAACCAAGATGGATAGCCTTTTCCAAATTATGCATATTCTGGCCATTTTAGTGGAGAGAAAACTGAGGCTGGAGAGAGAGAGTCAGCAGACCCATAAGTGGAAGAGCCACGATTTCATCCCAGTCTTGGAAGTACCGATTGACTCATAAGCAAAGCCTCCCCCAACAACCTCATTCCTGTCCACCACTCCAAACAAAAAACAAAAAACATCATGTTGCGTCAGACTTTTGGACAGTCATTCATGCTCAGGAAGGGCTGGGCTGTCTCTCTTGGGAGTGAGCTCCTAGTCTCCGGAGGTATCCAAAGCAAATCGGGGCAGAAATAGACAATGTCTGGGAAGTGGGATCAGCCTCCAGCTGTTCCGCATAGCTGGGTTCTTCAGCCCCACTTCCTCCCTGGCCTGTGTCTAATGGTGTCTGGCCACGTGGGCCCACCTCCTAGTCCACTTCCCCTCTCTCTGGCCCCCCGCATCCTTCCACTGCCCCTGTCCCTCCCCCTTGGCTCCTCTCCCCGAATCCTGCCTGTGAATTTCCCGCTTATGTCTCAGCAATAATGGGGACAGGCGTGTCTGTGTCAGGTTGCTGCCTCTCTGGCCTGCCTGGAAACTCATTGGAGGCCAGACCACCTCTCTAGCCCCTGACCGTGTGCAGGACAAGACTGGCCATTTGAGAAGGCATAATGAAGGTACAGGGGTGGGGTGGGGGGAGCCCATTCAGTCAGGATTCCTTGTCCTTTTTAACGGGATGCTTTAGTTTCCTAATGCTGCAGTCTCTTCCCACCACATGTTCAAAGTACACGAGAGCCTTCTGCCTGGGCTTCTATCCAAACAAATCTGTTTGTTTTGTTGCTTGTTGTTGTGTGTGTGTGAGAGAGAGAGAGATCAGGAGAGACCAACCCCTGGAAGGACAGGGAAATGCGTGGACACGTGGAAGGACAGTGAAAAAGACCCCCTGTCCTTCTGAGAAGAAGTGGCTCCTGAGATGAGCTGGACAGACATAGTGGCGGCAACAATGGGCTCAAGACTCACCGCCGCGGAGTCCGATCCGACTCGCAGTGACCCTGTAGGACAGAGTAGAATTGCCCTTGTGGGGTTTCTGAAGACTGTCTCTTTCCTGGAGGAGAACACCTCATCTGTCTCCCAAGGAGCAGCTGGTGGTTTCGAACGGTTAACCTCTCAGTTAGCCGCCCAAGGCGCTACCCACTACACCATCGGGGCTCAAACGTGAGGACAGTCGTGAGGCTGGGGCAGGACGGGCCGTGTTTTGTTCTGCGGTCCAGGGGTTGCCAGGAGGGGGAACCGGCCTGGGTGCAGCCTCAGACAAGCCACAGCGATGCTGCTGTGCAGAAGCACCACGAGGGGGCGCGCCTGCGCGAGCAGAGTTGCATTTGCGCACAGTTCTGGGGCTGGAAGTTCGAATTCAGGCTGCCAGCAAGAGAAGACGCCCAGGGACGTTCTCTTTCCGCTCCGGTCAACGCCGAATTCCTGGCTTCGGTGTGAGCGCCGCACGCTGCGCAAACTCCCCTCCATGTGTGCCAACGTCTCTGTTCCTAACCTGCTCAATTTATGTCTCAGAAGTGAGGCTGGGGGAGATGCACCTTGCAGCAACACGGCCTGGAGATCAGAACGGAGAAACCCCTGTTCCCGGTGAGCGCGCAGCCACAGGGTTAGGGTACCAATAGATTCGGGGAGACACAATTCAATCCAAAGCAGAGGGCCAGGCTTCAAACACAGGACCTGGGGGGCTGGAATCCTTGCCCTTCCCTCTGCCCAAGGCCGTGGGTATGCGTTTTGGGGTATTAATTGGAGTTAGTTAGGAAGGGTCTGAGATGTGCAGATGCGTCCTGTGTCCTGGGTGCCACTTGCAGGGGGCACCACTGGGCGTTGCTATGAACCTGCAGGTGTCTGAATTCAGGGTGTGGCACGGGTGAGCCCCTCCAGAGTTAAGGGAGGCATTTTCCTTACCTCCCCCAGCGTCTGGGGGTTTCCAGGGCTTTCTGTGCAGTTTCTATGGCTCAACGTGCTTCTTCAAGTTCAGTAGACATAGCATCATCATAAGGTAAAGGGTGTATGTCATAAGAAGGAACACGTGCCAAGTCCACGGCCAGAGGAGGCACAGTGACATGCCACGGCCCCACAAATGCAAAATGTGCCTGGCTAAGGTCGCCTTATAAGACAGGGGAAGGCGTTTCTGCTGAGCGTGGCCACCACGAATATCCACTCAATGTGAAATTGAGGTGGGTAGGGAGTGCAACGTAGAGACGGCCCCTCAGCTCGGCCTCCTCACCGAACCCCTGGGGAGCAATTTC